GATGATTGTCTCAACTACCCTCAGCAGCAGGTCCTGACAATCTGAGCAGAAGCCCTAGACATTACTTCACCGGACCCGAGGTGTGCTGCTGATGCCTTCTGGCCACATGCTTTGCATCGGTCCAGCAAATTCTGGCCGGAGGCGCGATTTTGGCTTCTGGGTTTCGGGCGGCAAAGTACCTCAACTTGATCAGAAGTTTTCGAGTGATGGATGCCGGCAGCTTTGTATGTAAAGCCGAAACAGCTTGACGAAATTGAATTCCGTTCGCCGGCCGCTGCAGCTAAATATTGCCACAGCAAACCAGAAGCTGTTGTTGGTCCACGACTGACCCGAAATCCCAACTCCTCACACTAGGAAAACTTGTTGTCAAACGCCGTTTTTTGGCTTCATCGCAACACGTGAGCACGTGAGTCCGGTTGCCGGCATAGCTACGCCCCGGACCTCAAACATAGCATTTCCTGAGCTGCGGCACTTTGTTTGAGCCGTAAGTTTTCAAACGTGAACTATGTCCTCAATCTTGCATGTCGAAGGACAGCCTGCTTAGTCGGAGCTCGGCTGGCAAATGCTGAAGCCACCGACGTGGTGTCGAAGCTGGCGTTGAGGCAGCGTGTAAAAGTCGGCATGTGTCTGTTTCCGCTGAACGTCTCGCTTTCAGGGCCAAACCGGTTTGGGCCTCAGGCTCATCATTTGCGCTTCGGGAGTGGATTTCATCGGGTGCTTCGAGGGGCACGCTGAACATCATCTCTTGTGACAGAAGGAGGTTGGAAGGTGCGCAATGTCTGACCAACCATCCACGGAACCTACAAGACTCGAAGCAGACACCTGCAAAGATGCTGCAGAGGCCCCCCGCAGATGTCGAGGACACGGCCGATCACAGACTCATTATCATTGTTGCAAGTTCTTTCAAGCACACGAGATGGCTTTGTGGTGGCCGCTTGTTTATGATTGTCGAGAGGTGCTCGCCATAATTGATGAGTCTGTGCTTAGCCAGCTGCAGTTCCAGTTTCGGCGGGGTTTGATGAGTCTAGGGTCGCTCCTGCCAGGGAATAGTTGGAGTGCTTAAATGCATAAATCCATGCATAGATGTAGAAGTCCCACGTCGCAGAAGCCTACAAGCTGAACCTGAGTCCCAGGCTTCGAGTAAGCATATAGGTTCCTGCTAAACCAAGAAGAGATGGTTCTGGACGCGCCACACCTTCGATTGACCGCTCAAACATGTAGGCAATTCTACAGGCTGTCCCAAAGACAAGTTCGATTTTCGTCACGACGATATAACACCCTGTGGCCAGGAAGAGTTCTTCGCGATTCTCCGAAACAGCATGATCCGCCCACATCTTACTTAAACCTCAGCGGCTAAAGCTTGCCTGAGTACAAATTGCGCGGAGCTTGTTGCTATTCTGAGACTTGTAGCCTGGTAGTCACTACTCTTGCTGCAATTGCTGTTGCTATTACTGCTGGTGCTGTTGCGAGTGGCTACTAAGACTACTAAGACTACTAAGACTACTACTACTACTACTACTACTACTACTACTACTACTACTACTACTACTACTACTACTACTACTACTGCTACTGCTACTGCTACTACTGCTACTACTGCTACTACTGCTACTACTGCTACTACTGCTACTACTACTACTACTACTACTACTACTACTACTACTGCTATTGCTACTGCTACTGCTACTGCTACTACTACTGCTACTAATGCTACTGTGGCTGCTGCTGCTGCTACTACTGTTGCTACTACTGTTGCTACGACTACTACTACTACTACTACTACTACTACTACTACTACTACTACTACTACTACTACTACTACTACTACTACTACTATACTATTACTACTACTACTACTACTACTACTACTACTACTACTACTCCTACTGCTCCGGCTCCCGCTCCTGCTACTGCTACTACAATTGCGACTGCTCCTACTGCTTCTACTGCTAATGCTCCTCCTATTGCTGCTGCTGCTGCTGCTACTGCTACCGCAACGGCTATGGCTACGGCTTCGCTACTGCTTCTGCTACTGCTTCTGCTACTGTTATCGCTACTGCTGCTGTTGCGCTATCTCGGAACATGCTTTGAGGAAATACCCGTCTATCGGTGTCAGCTGCACTGGGGTTAGGCACTTCAGAACCGCATGTGGCATGCATCCAAGCGTCAACCTTGCGGGCGTCCACGTTGGAGTTAAGCATTGCTGCTCGGGAGCTGCTATAGTTCAAAATCAGTTAAATCTACCTGATCAACGCAGCCTGCACCCCGTGACAAGGCCAGCTCTCGCCCTCCATGCTCTCTTCATCTTGTACATCGCGTTTTTGGTTAATGTTTTATCTCGCTCTCTCTGTCGCTCCTTGTTCCTGATACCTGGCTTGCCATCGCTTTTACTATTTCGTTCTGGGTTTAAGCTTGCTTGTCCCTCCTTGTTTCTATTTAGTTCTGGCTCCATCTCAATCCCTCCAGGTCCAGCCGCGCAAGCACCTTCAATATTGGCAAACGGACGGTCTGAGGACAGAGACCTACACGAACACGTCCATGCAAGGTTGTTTCAAAATACAGACAGGCCAGGTGAGCAAAGTGCAAGGCCAATAAGGCTTCGAGCAAGCCAAATTCACCAACCCCTCGTGCTTAGGTCTCAATTTTCATCAGGGACAGTGGCCCTGAACACTGCTAATCTACTGTGAAATTCGCATCTCGCGAAGTCCCGTGCGGAACCATGCCAGACTCCAGGCTCAGCCCAGCCTTGGCGTCTGTTAGGGCACTCACCCCACCCCAAGGTGCAGCCACATTGGGTGAGCGACAGCTGTTGGTGCTTCAGCTGGTCGACCCTGCTTTGTTTAAAAGCTGAATCAACTACCGAACTCACTTGTTCCGAGCAGCTTTGCATTTTGGTGGTCGTTTGGTACACAGTGAAAGGACCCGAAAATATTGCCATTTGTTTGGACCGGGGCTTCAAAACCAATTTGTCGATTGCTGCTGCCGACATGCCAGCGTGTCTACGCAGACGAATATCTGAACGTTTGGAACGCGAGCCATACATAAAAAGCAGCTGAACGGAGTGCGACATCGCCAGGTCAATGGCATCCTGCCGTGGGAGGTTCAAGTTCCAGATTGGTCTCTGGAAGCATTGCTGGGAGTGTCGAGTTTGATGGTGAAGGATTCTGAAACGATAAGGAAAAAAGCTAGTTCGGGCCCTAGCTCGTTCTTCAGCTAGTGCTTGAGTGTGGCGTCGTTGCAGGGTTTTTTTCGTAGGTTGTGGTCGAAGTTCCCCTTGCCAGATGTCTGGATGCTCATGCATATGATTGTTTTCACACTGTCGTATTGGCTTTCTCGGTCCACACTTGCCGAATGGGGTAAGCAAGGGCGTGGGATGGCGTGGGTAGCTCCACCACTGACTCGTGAGCGATTGCAGGTGATTGTTTTCGCGTTGGCAGGGACGTCGACGTAGATCTGCTCGTGATTTGGAGCCTTGGAGCCTGTGGGAGGCTCTCTTGGAGCGCTTTCTGGACACGTTTCACACCATCGCTCGTCACGGACTCTCGGTCTTCAAGAGTCTGACTTGACATGCGTTGAAGACATGGTGAGTGGCTGAGATTGGACATCCCCGTGTAAGCTCAGCTGAAAGTGCTAGAGCTCTCCGAAAGCGGCAGCATCTACATGCTGCTGTGCACACATGGGCCGGCTTCTTTGATGATCTTCTGCGGGAACTTTATGACTGTAGGTTCATTGCAGGATGCTGCATCTGGGGACCGCAACCATTCAAGACGTGAACTTTCTGCTTCACCATAGTCGAACGCATGCGGATGTGGCTCCTGGTTGTTCAGTGTGTTAGGTTGAAATCATTGAAAGGGCTTTGCAGAAGCTGGCATGATTTTAAGATTGACTTTAGCAGCTAGAACAGCTTCGTCAGCAGTACCCAAGCTGGCCAAGGAACGCGGAAGACCACAAGCCTTGTTCAGCCTTGCACATGCTGTGCGGCCCAAACACAGTAAGTTGTTCGCTGCCCTTGCGATTGTAATGACTTCCGAAGGAAGGAGGCCGGCTGGAGACGCAACGGAACGTCGTCCCTTTCAAACACCAACGCCCATGAAGGTTGATCCGGTCAACGATACACCGGAAGTCTCGAATTGCCGAGGAGATGTGCAGGGAGCCTGGACGTCAGAGCAGCAGGCAGGCAACCACAGTTTTACTGCTAACGCACTATTGGTATGATGATGATGGCAATGTCGATGACATGGATGAAGATGATTATGAATGCGACGGTGACCATGTTGAGTAAGAAAAACGATGATAGTAAATTGACTATTATGATGAAGAAGATGATGATAATAATGATGATGATGCCGAAGTAGATTGTTGTGCTTGTAGCAGTCGTCGTGGTAGCAAGTAGTAGTCGTCGTCGTCGTCGAGTCGTCGTAGTAGTAGTAGTAGTAGTAGTAGTAGTAGTAGTAGCAGTAGTAGTAGTAGTAGTAGTAGTAGTAGTAGTAGTAGTAGTAGTAGTAGTAGTAGTGGTAGTGGTAGTGGTAGTGGTAGTGGTAGTGGTAGTGGTAGTGGTAGTAGTAGGTAGTAGGTAGTAGGTAGTAGGTAGTAGGTAGTAGGTAGATGGTGGGTAGTGGGTAGTAGGTAGTGGGTTGTAGGTAGCAGGTGGGAGGTCGTAGGTCGTAATTAGGTCGTAGGTAGTAGGAAGTGGGTAGTAGGTCGTAGGTAGTAGGTAGCCTGTACGCCGCAGCAGTAGCAGTAGCAAGTGGCAGTGGCAAGTAGCGGCCGCAAGTAGCAATAGCAAGTAGCAATATCAAGTTGCAGTGGCAGTAGGAGTATGAGTAGGGGTCGGAGTAGGAGGAGGAGGAGGAGGAGGAGGAGGAGGGGCAGGAGCAGCAGCAGAGGAGCAGGAGCAGAGGAGCAGGAGCAGAGGTGAGTAGGAGCAGGAGTAGGAGTAGGAGTAGCAGTAGCAGTACTGGTAACAGTCGGAGTCGGAGTGGTAGTGCTAGTGGTAGTGGTTAGTGGTCGTGGTAGTCGTAGTCGAACGTTGTAGTCGTAGTCGTAGTAGGAGTCGGAGTGGGAGTCGGAGTAGCAATAGTAGTAGAAGACGGAGTAGTAGATGTGTGTTGTTGTTAAAGTTGTCGTAGTAATAGTCGTAGTAGTTGTAGTAATAGTAGCAGTAGTAGTAGTAGTAGTAGTAGTAGTAGTAGGAGTAGGAGTAGGAGTAGCAGTAGTAGTAGTAGTAGTAGTAGTAGTAGTAGTAGCAGTTGTACAGTAGGGGTAGGAGTATAGGAGTAGGAGCAGGAGTAGAGTAGGAGTAGGAGCAGGAGTAGGAGCAGGGTCGGAGTAGGACTAGGACTTGGACTAGACGAGGACTAGGACTAGGACTATGAGTAGGAGTAGTAGTAGTAGTAGTAGTAGTAGTAGTAGTAGTAGTAGTAGTAGTAGTAGTAGTAGTCGTCCTCGTAGTCGTAGTAGTAGCAGGAGTAGCAGCAGCAGGAGTAGTGGTAGCAGCAGTGGTAGTAGTAGCAGTAGTAGTAGTAGTAGTAGTAGCAGCAGAAGTAGTAGTAGTAGTAGCAGCAGCAGGAGTAGTAGTAGTAGTAGTAGTAGTAGTAGTAGTAGTAGTAGTAGTAGTAGTAGTAGTTTTTCGTAGTTGTAGTAGTAGTAGTAGTAGTAGTAGTAGTAGTAGTACCACACGCGCTCGTAAGAGGACTGGTGTTTTCATGCGTTTCGGAGTCAGTTTGCACGACAGGAGCGTTTTTTGGGGGGGGCGGAGGATAATAACGTTCATGTCACTGCCGTTGGCGATCATGCCCAACAGACTGGTATTTGCAGCATTTTTGGTCTTTGTACAACATATTACAACATACGGCAGAAGCTGCCAGTACTTTCGGCACTTCGTGAGCCTAAACGCATCGTTTTTTGTACATTCAACCTTGCATGGCAGCCGAAAGCGCCGTAAGATTGCGTTCTGTTTGAGACGCATGACAAACTCCAGTCCTCCTACGAGCGTGTGTCCTAGCAGTAGTAGTAGTAGTAGTAGTAGTAGTAGTAGTAGTAGTAGTAGTAGTAGTAGTAGTAGTAGCAGTAGCAGTAGCAGTAGCAGTAGCAGTAGCAGTAGCAGTAGCAGCAGGAGCAGCAGCAGCAGTCGTCGTCGTCGTCGTGGCAGCAAGTAGCAATATTGGTCGTAGTAGCGGCGGGAGGATGGAGTTTGACCTGTAGCAGGTGGTCGTTAGTGATGCTTCTCTGAACAATCAGAATCCTCTTGATGAGATCGGCTTTGGGAATATCGGTAGCAGTCGAAACAGGAACAGGAAGTTCAGTTGAAAGCATATTTTGGCAGGAGGTCGCCCTCAAAGCGCTGGCCAATGATGAGAACTTTCTTCAGGACCTCGGCTGGATGCTTTCTAAGGGCGGGGCTTCAGCTTGCAGTTATAACGTCTTCCGGGACTCGGGATGTGTTTGGGCCACGCTGAACCGGAATTGCCAAACCACATTTCTGAAATTTCTGATTTGCAGTCCCAAGAGGAGTCGCAGCACCTCGGTCGCTGGCTCGCCTTCGTCCAGTTCTCACGCAGCTGGATTTCATCGGGCAGATCTTGTTTTGTCTTTGGCGGTGGATCATCTAGACTTGATGTGCGGGATAATGCCTTCACTTTTGCTTGAAGTATCAATAATAATTATGACTGGTTTTCTTACAACCGATACTTGTGTAAATCGGTGTAATCATACTTGTTTTGTGTTGGCTTGCTTCTCCTTTCAAGCGGTGATTCCTGCGGATGTCCCTGGAAGAGTACAAACGCACTCATTGATCCAGGCAAAGCGCTACACACCGTGCCCCTCGGATGCGATGTGTCTATGCTCGGGTTTGGGCGGAGTTTGGGTCCAGGGCGGTTTACACTGAACTTGTCGGGGGCGCTTCGCAGATGAAGGTTCGAGGGCCTCGTCTTCGCCACCTTGAAGTGCCATCAACGCTAACTACTACGAAAGGGGCTTTGAGCGCCCAGGAGTTCTGGCATGGGTTCTTTCTTCCTGTTCTGGGATGTTGGCGCAGAACCTCAGAAGCTCCTCCTGGTCTGGAAGGGTGAACTCGCGGATGAGTGAAAGCCGCTGTGGAAACCCACACATAGAGCAGCACGAACACATGACAGTCTGTCCTCGGCTGCCAGGCTTGTAGCACAGAACACCGACTGGGCCGTCACACGTCCAGGCGTGAGTAGCTTGCGGATTTCTCTGTCGCAAGTTGTTCGAACCCACCTGCGCGTCCCATGCGGCGCAATCCTCTGAGCCAAGTTGAACTCATAAGTTGCCCGGCTTGCTTTTGGACCGCAGAGAGGAGAGCCACATTGGCTTCACAATTTAGTTGAAACGAGGTTCCAGCACGTCTCGATTTAGGATTAAAGAAGTTGAAAGGATTGACCTCGATGTACTTAGTTGCAGCATTTGATTCGAACTGACCGGATCGTCCTGCAAAGCGGTGAAATTAGCATTGTTCCTTTTGATGCCTTGTCATGGGGTCGCGAACTTTCAGTGCGCCGAGAGGAGTCTCCAGCCCCAAAGCCGACCATACTTCTGCAGGGTACCTGACCTGTGTCCACGTCGATTGCTACGCGCCACTGGCAGAGGCGGCAGTCGGATTTGCTTCTCTTGTGCAGCTGGCCATTGGGCTTTTGTTTACGTGTTGGCGTTGTTTCAGTATTCAGTGACAGTAGGCGTGATGCGCACGGACGTCGTTGCATCTATGATCATTTTGCTGCCGAGATTCAGCATTCAAATAGTATATCTGCAAGCAGCAAGCAGGCCACTCGCATGTTTTGTGGACTCCGTTTCCTCTGGATCGTGGATACGAACAGGCTGCCCTCGTGCCCACAGTAAGTAATGTGATAAGTCGACAAGCGATACATGCACAGTGACCTTTTTTCAAGTGCAATCTTGAGCTTACGTTCTCTGCTGAGGAAGGCAGGAACGAGGGACATGTGCACGCTTACGAGCGGAATGTTCGGTACTGCAACAGGCAGTCCTTGAGACCTCCTCATATTAGTCTTACCATGTCTTGCCTGTTGGCACCGGTCATCAAAAAGCTGACCTTCTTAGAGTTTGCTGTGGAGCCCAGACTGAGCATTCGCGTTACGTCGCGGCAGCCAGCGACACAATGAATGTTAGCCACCTGGTCCAGTCTACCTTACCTCGTAGTATACTGCTCATACAAATAATTCACTATTGCATGGCTTGTGTGGCTTGTGCGTGCATCATCGTTGTCCGACGTGGCGCAAACCCTCCAGCTGCTGAAGTTGCTGTTTGAATTGCATTGGTGAGACTGTGTCTGAGGAGGCGTTGATCGGCGTAGCGTCCATGATGACAGGCGCGAACATGGGAATGAAGAGCGTCGGCATGTAGTCTTGACTGAAGCTTTCCGGCGGGGTCGCATGACACGTTCTGCGTCTTCTGTTCGGCAAAGACAGTTTGGGCCCTCTGTATATTGCAGTAGCTGTATAAGCACTACAGTAACAGTAGCCACCCCTCAACATCAAACTCGTTGCTTGAAGCACTTTTAGCAGACCCCGACCGATGGCGATGTTAATGCAACAGTCGGTGATCCGAAACACTCGAAACCCTCGACTCCAACCCCGGGAGACTAGCAGGTATTGACCGGGACATGTCGCACAAGGATTCCAACTTCAGCACGCTGCAGCTTCTTGGCTGATGGTGAGCACCCAACGTGAAGTGCTGGTGCTGCTTCCCCCTTGAAGCTTCCACGACGTGGCACGGCACACTAAATTGTCAGTTCAGGCTTTCTGCAGCATGGGCAACGTTAGCCTTTGTGACGAAAGAAGCCGCAGTAAAGTCGCAAGGTCCGGCAACCTGCCGAGAATCCAGATTGTAACATGTGGGGGGATGGAGGGGGGTGGCGGGTACCACTGCCTTGGCAAGTGCATCTGTGTACTACTCTCAGGGTGGCAGAGGCGGTCTCCGATTGCAAGGAGCAAAGCGACTTCGTACACGGGAATGCGCCTGGGCACCAACACTCCTGATGTGTAGCCGTGTAGCCGAGTTAAACAAAACGCATCAGACAGATTGCTACTGCTGCGCCGACTAGTACACAGTTGATGCTTTACACGATATGGAGTGACACTACTGCATCTAGGTCACAAACTGGCGTGCACACAAATGTATGGTCGCGCGCCTCCATGGTCTACGGTCCAGGATGCCCCCCCCCCGTCCTGTATAAAGCTTCGAGTCGACAAGGGCTTAGGGAGGGTTTCGGGTGTAGGTTCGTTAGGGTTGACGGTTTATGTTCTGGTTTAGGCTTAGAGCCTATAAGGCTTTTTTTTTCCACAGGAGCACGCGCTACTACGCTATGTTAAAGGATGGGATGCCCCGCGTCCCTGTGGGGTGGGGTGTGGGGTCCCTCTTCCCTCTCGGGGGTGGTTACGCGGGTTTTGGGTTTAAGGTTTAGGGTATAAGTTAAGGCTTCGAGTCGACAACGGCTTATGGGTTCGGGGTGTAGGTTCGTTGGGTCTGACGGTCTATGTTCTGCTTTAGGCTTCGAGCCTGCATTTAAGCGGGGTTTAGGGTTGAGTGCAGGGTTTAAAGATGTGCTTGCGTAGGGCTTGATCCTGGCCTTGTGTGACCCAACGGCCGCGACCCCGCTCCGCCAGCCCCCTGACCCCTACCAGGCCATACCATTGGTGGGGGGGGGGCCCGGGAACACCAGTCGCCTGACAATCTATATGTGTTTATATATATATATATATATATATGTATATATATATATATATACACAGAAAGGTAGTAATATTCTTGTTCTTCTAATATATATATATATATATATATATATATATATATATATGTATATATATATACACATACATATATATATACATACATACATAGGTATATATATATATATATATTATACGTGCGCATACACACTCACACACGCACGCAGATATGCTCTGACACGCAGCTGTTGGTTGAGATTGTTCAGAGCTCATCAGGCTCATTTTGGTGGTGCAGAATCTGTATTTGAGAGTGTTCACACAACCGTCTTCACGCATCAGACATTACCATCAATATCATAAGCATCGTTGACACCCTGACTTTGCGTGCGTGGGCCTTGTTAACTTAACTACAGCTCGGGAGCACAGGTAAGGCAGGGCATCCCGAGGGCGAAACACAGTGCCTAGGCGGCTCTATCAGAGGAACGCTTCGCAACCACTAGACCTGACCATAACACGCAGCCAAAGTCGAACCTCCCTTTGCAGACGGCCTGATGGCCTTCGTATACCTTGCCTCTTCAATGTGTATAGTTTGCCATGCGGGTTCTTACTTCTTTGTGCCACCGTGACGACGCAAGCAGCTGTTGATGTTGTTGGCTTGTCTCCAATATCTTGCATTTTCTGCCAGCTGCACATGGCTTCATTCGTGAACCTTGATTTATGGTATTCCCGCAAGTCACACTTCTAGTGCTATGCCGCAAGCATCTATGCAGCCATGTCAACACGTGTTCAACCCAATCACCACTAAGGAGCCCTTCTGCATGAACATTTGCTCTGGGTTGGACGGGCTTCCCGGCATCTTCGAGCTGGTGCCGAAGGTTCGTGCTTGTGATCTTGTGTCGAGAACGATCTCTGGGTGCCCCACATCCTTCCCAAATGAATCAGCTTCATGCTAGAGCCTCATTTCGAGCAATCGAGTATATAGGCCCTTCTTGCAGTCGATGAGTACATGCGGTATATTCCCGTCATGTTGTGCTTGCTTTGCAGTTCAATCTTGTTGTGATCAAGCTGAGCATTCGCGCAAAGTTGCCGTTACCGTTGTCACTCATGATGCTGCAATGCGCATGCAGGTTGCGACTGGTTGGCTCCTCAGAGGTTTGATGCTGGTTAAACAAAGTGCGATCCCAGGCTTGTGAGGCTCTAGGTTCTAGCCTCCTGTTATTGTCATGAACTCTGCCCCTCCTACATGCCCTCAGGGATGCAAGCAGGGCTTTTCTGAGGATTCGACGCACCCCGAGCAGCTCCGCATTCATGGGCCCTCGGTCAGCCCCGCCACTGCGGAGGATACATAAGTACGTATACAATACATGTCTACGTACATATACAATACATGCATACATACATTATATACTTAGTATACATACCAAGACTGTACATACAGACGTAGATGCAAAGGGGTCGATGAGTGGCGGATGCAAATCGGAATCTTGCTGCGGGCTGCTCTGTAAAACACCCGCTGTCCATGAGAAGGTTCATGTTGGCCGTTCCTTCTTCCGAACCGCCTACTTCTACTGTAAGAGCGACGAGCTAATGACTCTGTTTTCCATCTTCGCTTTCAGGCCATGTGCCTGCAATGGGCGACTTCATCGACCTTGTGCCGTTGGCCCAATTTGGTCATGCGAATTCAATCTTCATGAATTATTGGGGGCGCTGTGCGAGTTTCATGGCGACATGTGTTGCGAAGTCTGAAACCATGGAGGATTCGGGTTTGCCTCCATGTACAGGACTCCGCGGCTTCCTGATCGGAGTTGCTATTCAGATTGCGCCGACATGAAGTTGTCGGTAACACCAAATCATGAACATTCAGAACTGATGGCTGCGTGTGCGGGTGAAGAGAATCCAGATTTCAGCACTAAAATTGCTGCATTGTGCCTAGAGGCTTGCTTAAAAAAGGCATCCGTCCGCGTGTCTGTGTGTGTCGTTTCTAAGTCTGCATCCTCAATCGTCCTCATCTGGAAGCTCACGGAAACCTTATATGCCCTGAACCAGAATCCTGGAGATCCTCAAACGGAGAGGGCGACGTTAGCCATTGTTTGGCTATTTGGAGCTCGATGCACCTGAGTGCTGATTTGGACAGCACCGCCGTATCTTTGCATTCCGAAAGCTTGCTTTGCTGGCAGAGTTTATGGCAGGTGCATGGCTTCGTTCTGAGCTGCACGGTCGACAACTCAGAAACCTGATCCAAAAGTGGGTTACCGCCGAGCTGAATCAATTGGCTCGTTGCACGCACGAAAGCGGACGGGCCCTTCCTGAAGCCTTTGTAGCTTGATCCCTTTTCGCTGTGAAGAGTCATCTTGCATGACCCGGGCTCTTGATGCAGCACTGAGTTTCCTTCTCAATCTGGCATGCTTCTATGCTACTACGAATGCAGCCCGAAGCATGAGCCATGCTGCATCGTTCTGACTTGCACCCCGCTTGTAGTCCCCAGGCTGCGATTGCCAAATCTCGAGCCTTGCGTGAGCGGCTGCTCCGCGTCAGTGAATCGCTTCTGCAGGCCGCAGCCTTCCAGGATTGATCGCGCAAGTTTGTGGACTCTTTCCCTTCCATATGATCCCCAAAACCTTGATGCAGAATTCAACAACCAGCCAGTTTCCTGGCGGAGTCCTGCAATTTGCAGTCTGCTAGTTACGGCTAGTTCCAACGCCACAAATTTTCAGGCAATGTTTTTTCAGCAGGTTGATACGTTGAGGTATCAGAATGTGCATTCGAGCTGCGTCTTTCGTTGTTGAAAGCAACTTG